TCCTAAAAATAATTTTACCATATTTTATTATTATTATTATTTTATTTTTATTAAATTAAATTAAAAGTTTATAAATTAAATATTAAAATAGAATAAAATTAAACAAAATTTCAATAAAAAAATTAAAAAAAAATAAAAAATAAAATAAGATAAAAAAAAATTTTGGGTGTTACATGACAAGTTGTTAATAAATTGATGAGAGATAAATACTGTAAGGATCTAAAAACATTTTAATGTTCACGTGAATAAAAAAAAATTTTAAACACATAAAAAATTATAAAAATAGCCAACTTGTTTAGCTTCACTTAGTTATTTGCTTTCTAATGTTCATCAAATGCAGTAGCAAATTGAGTAAAAAAATTATTAAAGATTTGGTGTTATTTTTACGCTAAGAAAAAAGTGAAGGGGATTAAGATTTTTTTAAAAAAAATTAGAATAAAACATGCGAATAAATTGAGAAATAAATATTTATCGTTTGGAGTTAGTAAAAAATAAATTTATCTTTTTTTTTTTATATGTGATTAATTAATTAATTAATTAATTAATTAATCAATTATTAGTGGAGCATATTTATCGGGGAAAATCTTATTCTCGAAAGGTTTACGCTTGATTAAGTTGGCAAACAGGTCACGAGTGGACGGATCAAATGCGCAGGTAATTTGATCGCGTCCTGCCCGGTCCGTTGACACGAGCTAGAATCGAAACTCTCATCTAAACGCTAAAATCTATCTGTTTCGATTCCCTGTTCGTCTCCTATAGTGTTGCTGAGAAAGGAAAGAAACCGAAAGAGGGAAGAAGATGAAGAAAGAGGATACAGTGAAGCTGATAAGCGCAGAGGGATTCGAGTTCGTGGTGGACAAGGAAGCCGCCATGGTTTCTCAGACCATTCGCAACATGCTTACCTCCCCAGGTCCTTCCTTCCCTGCGTGCATCTATTGACATTTTATGTTCTTTTTTTTTTTTAACCATTTGAATTAGGGTTTGAAGAGACGAATTTTTTGCCCATCTTTGGTTGGATTTCGATTTAATTTTTCTGTTTCAATTTTTAGCATAGAAGTTTTGCTACCTGGAATGTTTGACGTCGGTCGGTCTCCAATTTTATGGCCTGTGGAGGAAAGGTAAGGAGACTGTTCGGGTATGGGAGGAATGTGATGTAGCTTTACTAGACTGGTAAATCAACTTCAGTTTAAAGTATTTTTATTTGTTTTATAGAGAAACAAAGGGAGACTGGTTTGAGTGCTAATGCCCAATGGCTCAGTTATTTTGGGTATTGGGGAACGTATTTTGGTTTCAATGGTTTGTGATCAAACAACTTCAGGTTAAACTTTAGAGTTGACTTTAGGTTAAATTTGGTGTTTTTTATGGTATAATTAACGCAAAAAGGGCCTGATTGTAGTGGCTAATGGTCTAATTTTATTGATTTGCTTTAGTTAAGGGAGAAATGTATTGTGTTCTTACTGGAGAGTGCTCAAGCAATTTCCAAGAATTGTTTTGTTTTCTTGTTTTGTTTAAGAGAAGGAGACTGAGTTTCTTTTTAGGAATTGAAGAAACATATTTGTA